GTGTAAACACTATTATATTTTTGTAAAATTACTTTTTTCTTCCTGTTTTGATTCATTTCAATCAGGAGGTCTCCAGCAGCAACAACTCAGCCTCCAATCACCAAAGTGTGTCTCCCAGGTAAGAAACTAACAGGATTATCTCTTCTTGTGTTTGGCTCCTGCAAAGCTTCATCATATCTGGTTTCAATCTGGCTCAGACGTTTGTCTACATTTTTTTTATTTCACCCTTTCCCTCATTAATCTTTTGGTTTTACTTTTCTTCTTCGTTTGYCTACGTGACCACTTTCACTTGTTTTACCTTCTGTCTGCAGCGCCTTCATTGCAGCTCAGACTACTTTGTCATCAAGCTCATTAACCTTAGTCAAAGCCATTTTAAGATACAGTTCAGACCGACGCTCATGCAGACTCWCACACAGTGGGGCCTGTTACAGCAGCTCGCTCCAACAATAACAGCAAAACTCCCCTTTGGTCCGTCATTGTGTTTGATTTTAAGCAGCTGTTTGAACGTTTCCACTCAGTGCTTTGTTGGCGTTTGCACATTTAAAATGCTGTTAACATGTAAATGTGCATGCAGGATCTAAAATAATATGAACATATTCCTGACACCTGACATTAACTGAGCAAAAAAKAAATCAGTTCCTGCATCAAAACAAGAGACTGTATGATGTAAATGTGTTTCTCGTCTTTTTAACTCATCATATAACAGCTCTTCGTCTGTCATAGCAAGACAAGCAAAAACCACACAGCAACACAAAGACTTTAAAAGTTGAACTCATTTTTTTGAAAATTATGAATTACTTATGCAGAACATGTTTCTTCAGTGTTAAGTTTTTGTTATAAAAGCAGAAATGTTGGTAGGCGTTTCTGATTATAAAAATGAAACATGACGCAGACTAGATCTTGTTCTCAAGAACGTTACTGAAGAACAGCAGCAGTGTTTGTGTTGTGCAAACACGAGATGATCAACAGTGAAACCAAGAACATTTTAAACATGAAACATGTTTTAAATGAAACAAACTCGGGTCAAATGAGACATCAAATCAGAACTACTGAAACCGAAGTCTCAGAAAGTTTATCTAACGTAAAGGTTTTCTGTGTTCACATGTTGGCTCAAACACCTCCTTTCATTTCTTTTATAGAGCGTGTTTAGACTATTGCATCAAGACTTTAAGTAATGTTTACAGATTAATTTCATGCTGGGACCTTGTTAAACCAACAAACGTTTGCTGCCTTGTTCATGTTGTGTGAAAAGTTTGAGCAGGGATGTGCCAGAAAGTCGATGTTTTAAGGAGGTAAAGTCATTAATCTTTACAATCTTGCAACTGTGGACTGATGAGGCATCTGATTTGACTAAGAGTTTATCATATATGCATCATTGTGTGTGTGTGTGTGTGTGTGTGTGTGTGTGTGTGTGTGTGTGTGTGTGTGTGTGTGTGTGTGTG